TTATGTGTTATTTCCCATAATAGTGTGTATCGTGCATCCAAAGGCGGCGGCACGAAATTGTTCATGGAGGGGGGGGGGGGCGTCTGCTCACCAACCTTGCGCCGAAGACGCGACCTTACTAGGTGGTCCGGGGGCATGCCCCCCGTAAAAAAAATACAATATAGATCCTCTGAAATACTATTTCGTGTGATTTGAGGGGCAACATTTGCTGACACAAAGGGTTTCAGATTGATTTTGGATGGGCGTCGCCTCCAACATTTTTTCGAGGGCGACCACTCCTCTGCCCAACCACCCCCCACCCCCGTGCCGCCGCCATTGGTGCATCACACGTGACCGATTCAATGAAATGGCGACTAAACGACCCTTAGTTTTCGAATCGCATTTCACGTGTAGGGTTACTTTACACATGCAATTACGTCTAAAACAATTTTTTGGTAAGAAAATTAGGTCATTTTTATGTCATTATATTTAATCAAATCACAGTTATTGCTGCTTCAAAATTATTGTATATAATTCAAGTTAGTACTAGGCGACATAGCTGAGTGCGTGCCGTCATGAGATTGACATATCTTAGCACCCGTACAACGTCTTGTCACGAAGTGTCGTAAACATTCATTGCATGCATTCCACGTATTAAAGGGCGGCAGTCGTCGTGCCGCGTCCTGTTCGATATGGGACTCATAGCGACGTATACAACACGTGTAAAATACATTGTTTATTTACATAAATTTCGAACACGCGCTGCGCGAAGACCACCGCGCTTTAATATAACATATAGTTTTAAAATAATGGTGCTGTATGTAGTATCTATGTATGGCATGTCTATCATACTATACCGCAAACTCAATCCGTAGTAAGGTATCATGAACACTGAATTTATAATTATATGCATTTACAGTGTACTACACAATAGTTGAGGCAAGTATAATCATGAATGAGTGGCACATAAAACGTAAAATTCTACTTCAATATATATGCCCGATGAGGTGAATTATTTGAAATAAAACTTATATTTTTGATCAAAATGCAGGGGAAAGTTCAGAAAGTAAGTCCTTGAAAGTTCACTGCAGTCTCATGAAGGACACCAAAATGATTTATCTATATATATTGTTTATGCATTATGAATATGAGTGAGTGAAATGGTGATAGATTGGTATCCCGACACTCAACAAAGGTCGAAGATCATTGATTAATCGTCTCAAAGGAGAGTGTCTGTTTACACCATAGAACACGACGGGACACGAGTTTTTGTCGATATAACATAATGCATTACAGTGAACAAAATCCGCAGCAGGTGCTCTGAAAATATTTACCGCATTTAAATCGATGAGCTGTAGACACATAAATTGTCAAACTACCTGTTAGCACGTTGCGTCACTATTACAACAAGTGTGTTGGGTTAAATGCGTAGTTTAAAATAAATGTAACTATCTTGCAATATTTCTGTTCCAGATTACGGGACAGAATCCAAGTTCTTCCGACAAAGGGGGTTAATATTATGCATACTTAAAATACTTGTTTGAGTGCAAATTATGATATATCCTACTCAATAAGCTCACCGTGGGTTGAAGGTTACTACCAGTCGTGAAAAATAGATGTTCAAAATACAGTTGATGAATATGGCTGGGATGGCCTTTTATTTCTATTTTAAAGTGTCATCTCGTGTGTCCTATCAGTTTTTTTTTATTTTCTCATATATTTGTGTTGAAAACATTTCTGTATTCAAAACACGTGTAATCATGGCATCGACCACAGCAACTTTGCAGCCCCCAGCGCTCGGATCAGTGACGTAATGACGGCTTATAGGCTCCCAGTAGTGCATTTGTTGTGTATATTGAAGTGGTAGTAGTAGGATAGGATGGATACACTCAGTGAATTCGGGAGAGCATGTCACAGCACATAAAGGAGTGGTGTCGGATCCGTATTGTCATTACTCACTGTCAAATCATAGTACAGCCATGCACCTGTGAAAGCATTGTAAGAATTAATGATATCGAAGTGTATGTATTCGAAGACGTTTGCATAGCCAAATGAACTCAAGTATCTATCAACAACTACGACTGTGTGCCCCTAACTGGTACTGCAACGCCGTTCCAAAGTCACGCCGTGCAAGCTGCCGCGTGCATTTAGACTAAGGAGTGTCCCGTCAAAAAACTGTGGGCTGGAGGATTCAGAATAAAAAAAAAAACGGCAAGGGCAGAGATGAAAAGAAAATGTTGTAATGGCCACATAATGTAAAATGTCGATGTAGATAAAATATTAGAAGAAAACGTTGTTCTAGTAGTCCCAAGATTTAGAATTGATAATCCTTTATTGTATTTCAAATACAAAAGCAAACCAAATTACAAATAGGAAATGAAAACACCAAAATTTGAGGTACCGGGGTAGTCATGGCGATTATATCAGGCGCCTAGATCACCAAAACACTGGATAATTATATTATACGCTTAATGTAGTACACCATGTCCTGTATCAGTGCATTATGTAATTTACAAGGCCCACTGAGTCGTAGTGTACTCAAATATGAGTGATTCATGGGATTTAGACAGTGACAAATCAGATTTATCAAGAATCTAAATCTATATCCATAAAATTATATTGGAGACATCACTTAGTGTTTATCATAAATATGACCGGTTTATTGCGCGTGTCCGTACCTATACATGAAAGTACCAGATTTAAGGCGGCGGCGTGAAATTCAGACCCTCAGAAACGCTATTTCCTGTAATTTTATTAGAGGCATATTTTGCTGACATACAAGAGTTTCCGCCTGATTGGGGTGGAGGTGGGGTCTTCCTCCGCCATCATTCCCCGACGGAGGGGACCCCCCCGTTCCGCCGCCACTCCAGGATGTGTAACGTTTAGGGATCATG